AGCCACATCCTCCTGGAGCACAACTACGCCCTGGCTGTGAAGCCCACCCCTGCCGTGCCGGCCCCCCGGCCCCCGGAGCCAGTGCCTGCCCCTGCCGCGCTCTTCAGCTCCCCCGCCGACGAGGTCCTGGAGGCCCCCGAGGTGGTGGTGGCTGAGGCAGAGGAGCCCAAGCAGCAGCCACAGCTGCAGCAGCAGTCAGAGGAGAGGGAGGAAGAGGAGGAGGAGGAGGAGGAGTCCGAGTCCTCAGAGAGCAGCAGCAGCAGCAGCAGCAGTGATGGCGAGGGCGCTGTGCGGCGGCGCAGCCTGCGCTCCCACGCCCGGCGCCGCCGGCCGCCGCTGCCCCCGCCCCCGCCCCCGCCCCCGTCCTTCGAGCCCCGCAGCGAGTTCGAGCAGATGACCATCCTCTATGATATTTGGAACTCAGGCCTGGACTTGGAAGACATGAGCTACCTGCGGCTCACCTACGAGCGGCTGCTGCAGCAGACAAGCGGGGCTGACTGGCTGAACGACACCCACTGGGTCCATCACACAAATATCCTGAGCCCCAGAATATGGCCTTCCTGTACAGGAAAGCAACCACGGGCTGCGGCAGGGGGGCCTGGGGCGGGGGGAACGTCCTCATTAGCAGGGTGGCCCGTCCTTCTCGGGTCTTGCCTGGCACTGCGCTCACTTCCCTCTCCAGCTGTGGGCCTCAGTGCGCTGCATCTAGCCAGAGGTCTCTCCTCTGGCTGCCCAGCCTGCCTCTCTCCGCTTCGTTCCTTTTGTGCCTCAGTTTTCCTGGCAGAAGAGGCGGGGTCTGAGTGGACTCCTCCCACCTGCTGCCCCCCTGCATCAGACATGCTTACCTGCTCCCACCAACACCACCTCCGTGCGCTGGGGCTGAGGTGGCTAGACAGGAGCGGGCCCCAGGGAGCCACCTGTTCTCTTCCTTAACGCCCTGCACTCACCAACCTGAACACTCCAAAGCGCAAGCGGCGGCCCCAGGATGGGCCCCGAGAGCACCAGACCGGCTCGGCGCGCAGCGAGGGCTACTACCCCATCAGCAAGAGGGAGAAGGACAAGTACCTGGATGTGTGCCCCGTCTCGGCTCGGCAGCTGGAAGGCGTGGACACGCAGGTGGGGCCCTGCCCCAACTCCAGGCCCATCCCATGGGGTCTTTCTCTTTCTCCTCCCCCCCCCCTTCCCTCCATCACTCACCTCCTCCCTATCCTGCTTCTCACAGGGGACTAACCGTGTGCTTTCCGAGCGCCGCTCTGAACAGCGGCGGCTGCTCAGTGCTATCGGCACCTCGGCCATCATGGACAGTGATCTGCTAAAGCTCAACCAGCTCAAGGTGAGGAGTGGGACCTGGGCCCGGGAGGAGGCGCTGCTCCTAAGGGAGGGGGGAACCAATCCTGAGACCCCCATGGTGGGTGGCAAGATGGGAGGCCTCTAGCAGTACTGTCTGCTCTCTGTCCCCAGTTCCGAAAGAAGAAGCTCCGCTTTGGCCGGAGCCGGATCCATGAGTGGGGCCTGTTTGCCATGGAGCCCATTGCAGCTGATGAGATGGTCATCGAGTACGTGGGCCAGAACATCCGCCAGGTGAGGCCACGCGGTGTGGCAGGCTGGCAGGCAGGCTAGTTCCCATGAAGCCAATCAGCCCTCACCAGCCTCACCAGCTCCGGGACTTAGCCAGTGAAACCGGTGTCCTTACAATAATAGGTACCCAGCACCCAAGATATTAGTAGTCCAGCAGGAAACATGATTGAGACTTTCCCTTTAAAAATGGGAATTGCTGGGCGCTGGTGGTTCACACCTATAATCCTAGCTACTCGGGAGGCTGAGATCTGAGGATTGAGGTCCAAAGCCCAGGCGGAAAAGTACATGAGACTCACCTAAGATAGGAGGTTGAAAGCCAGCCCAGGCAGAAGCGTCTGTGAGATTGTTCTCTCCAACCAGCTACCAAAATCCTCAAAGTCTGAAGTGGTAGAGGTGATCTTGAACAAAAAAAAACTAAGGACAGTTCCCGGGCTGGCTTGAGTTCAAGCCCTAATACCGGGACACACACCCTCCCACACAAAACAACAATAACCACAACAACAACAAAACCAGGGGGAATGAGGGAACATTGGCAAGTAATAGCAGAAAAGAATGGTGCTTGACTCAGGTTTGGCACACCAAGATGGTGTCTTAGCTGCACGAGGAGGAGGATTTTCCAGGCCTTGGGTCAGGAATGTGCTCCTGATTTTGGAAAAACATCTACTAAGGTTTGACAGTAGTGTGTCCTAGGAGGGCAAGGGGGTTAGGTAGCATGTCAGAGAGCTGAAGGTCCATGGTGGTGCTGTGGGGGGTGGGGGGGGCCTCCTTTCTCCTCGGATCCATATTGGGACTGTGGTAAGAAGGGCTCTGGAAGCTACGCCGCAGAGGGCTTTGGGAGTTAAACCTGGCTTTGCTGTGAGGAGTGCACTAGTTAGCTAGTGCTTGAACACTGGTACCAGTGCCTGGCTGTGGCAGAAATCCAGGTCAGGTAAGGGTGGTCTGGCCTGTGCAGCAGAGGCGACAGGAGTTTGGCGTCTGGGTAGCTAGCCAGTGAGCTGACTGGAGGGTGATGGATGAAGGAGTTGAGTCCCTTTCTCAGGCCGCCATTTGCCACTAGGAGTCCGAAGCCCAGTGGGATGGGCGCAAGATGATGAAGAGGACAGGGCAGCCCTGTGGGTTGTAGGCGCTGCACATCCGGGCATGACGCCCAGCAGCTCCAGTGAGGTGGCCTTTGGCCACAGATGGAGATTTGGGAGGAGCTGACTGGCAGCCAGAGCTCTGGAAGGGGTGAGGTCACCCACGGAAAAAGGCAGAACGCTCTTGGTCCTATTTTTTTTTTTTATGCCAGTCCCAGGGCTTGAACTCAGGACCTGGGCTCTGTCCTTGAGCTTCTTTTGCTCAAGGCTAGCACTGTTACCACTTGCCACAGTGCCACTTTTGGCTTTTTCTGTGTATGTGGTACTGAGGAATGGAACCCAGGGCTTCATGCATCTACCACTGAGCCACCTTACCAGCCCATGGTTCTATTTCTTCCACAAAGCCAGGGGTCCTGATGTGCATGACCTGCACTGCCCCAGCCAGCTGCCCAAAGGGGCTTGCTGGGGGGAGGATTGTAGGAGAGGAGATGAAGCAGGGTTCTGTTCGTGAAGTGACACTGTCATTTCACAAACTGCGCCAGTCCCACAGCAGATGGAGGTTCTGCAGCCGCCAGGCAGGCGCTCTAGGAGAGGCCAGTTCCGTTTGGTCTGGAGTCCTCTTGCCAGTACCTTAGGCGGAGGCCAGCTGCAGGCCCAGCCTGCTCATGTAGACCCTAGAGCCCGCAGCCTTTCTGCAGGGGCTGTGGGGTCTGGCCTAGGTCCATGTGGAAACTGAGGCCAGAAATTCAAGACTTCTGTGCCTCTCGCCCTCCCAGATGGTGGCGGACATGCGGGAGAAGCGCTATGTGCAGGAGGGCATCGGCAGCAGCTATCTGTTCCGTGTGGACCACGACACCATCATTGATGCCACCAAATGTGGTAACCTGGCCAGGTTCATCAACCACTGCTGCACGGTGCGCTGGGGACTGGGCTGGGGAGGGGCAGGGCAAGGGGGGGGGGGGAGAAGGGCAGCCACCACTCACACCTCTGCTCCTGCAGCCCAACTGCTACGCCAAGGTGATCACCATCGAGTCTCAGAAGAAGATCGTGATTTACTCGAAGCAGCCCATCGGCGTGGATGAGGAGATCACCTATGACTACAAGTTCCCGCTGGAGGACAACAAGATCCCGTGTCTGTGCGGCACTGAGAGCTGCCGGGGCTCCCTCAACTGAGGTGGGCAGGACTGGTGCCCACACCCCTATTTATTCCCCCTTGGTGCCCTGAGCTCCCAGCACCCCAGCCTTAGTGGGCTCCCAGGGCCCACCTGACCCCCGTGTCCGTCTACATGTGGGGGTTATGGGCCCCGAGCCCAGCAAGGGAGCCTCAGTTCCTCCCTCCCCGTCACCCCTGCCCACCCTCCCAGGCCCCTCATTTTTTTCTTTGCGGAGAAGAAGCTGTAAATGTTTTGTAGCTGCCAGCAGCTGTTTCCTGTGGAAACCTGGGGTGCCGGCCTGTACAGATCCTGTTCTTGGGGGCTGCACAGCTCTCATGCTTTGTGTTAATGGGGACTTCCCCTTGTGCCCTGCGTGCACCCCTCCCCAGTTTCGGGGTCTCTAGGGGCAGTGGCCATGTTCTCCCCGGGGGGGCCCTGCGGCCCCCTTCCTGGGGACTCCGTGCCTGCAACCCTGCCTCATCTTCTGTTCCTGCCAGACCCTGTGGGTTACCCTCCCACCCTGGCTTCTGGGGGCTCCGGCTCAGCCAGGCCAGGATGGTGGGGGGTGGGCCCTTCTTGTTGGGCTGGATTGTACATATGTTAATAGCGCAAACCCAACGCCACATTTTTATAATTGTGATTAAACTTTATTGTACAAAAAGGCCTCGGTCGTTATCTTTGGGGTGAGGATGGGGGTTGAGGACATGGCGGATCAAGAAAAGGAGGGAAAATGGGTGGTCTCGTTTGCAGTGGGTAGGAGGAGCCCACAGGCAAGAGCCCAGATTTGCAGACCAACACCACTGCTCTGTAACAGCCATGCCGGGAATCCCCCACCAAGGCCAGCCAGAGTTAGGCCAAGGTCAGGCCTGCCTTCCCTTCCCAACACCACAGCTGCTGCTGGGCCTCCAGCCCCTTGGGAAATCTAGCAGGAGGGAAGGACTGAGGTCATGCAGCGGGAATGAGGTTGCCCTGCTGCCTTCATCCTGTGACCCCCAAATCCTCCAGCACCCCACCCAGCAGGCTCTGGCTCCAATCTTCAGAGAGCTCTGGGTCCACGAGGGGGCGCCCTGTGGCAGGGAGTGTGGGGTAGAAGGGGTGGAGGCTGGACTGAGGGCCGTTCCTGGAATGGGCCCAGAGGGAGGAGGAGGCGGAGGAGGAGCAAGCGGAAGGAAGCTGATGTGACTGGCCGGCCCAGGAGACAGCTCCCTCCCAGTGACCACTTTGGGTTCTCTGGGACAGTGGCCACAGGTACATAGAGCTAATACCAAGGCTCCCCTTGGTCATTCCTCTCCTTCCTCCCCTCCTCCAGCTGTCTGCCTCCCCTGTCCCCACCCTCCTCTTCTACCGCAAACCTTTCTCAGCTACTTTGATCCTGTGAGCAGTGGGTGGGATCGGAGGTCCGATTCAGCCTCTACCCAAATAGGTGAAGGCTGCAGGAACAGCTCTTGTCTCCTCCTCTCTGCCCAAATTTCTGTGCTCTTGTTCTCTAGACCACCTGGCCCCTTCTCGAAATCCACCTGGCTGGGGCATCTGACAATTACAGGTGAGCCAGACTCCGCCTCTGGGCATGGCAGAATCTGCACAGGCCCCGAAGCTGGTGTACCTGGTCACAGGTGGCTGTGGTTTCCTGGGGGAACACATAGTGCGCATGCTGCTGGAACGGGAGCCAAAGCTCCGTGAGCTGCGGATCTTTGACCTGCACCTGAGTCCATGGCTGGAGGAACTGAAGACAGGTGATGGGGGGCGGGGGGTGGTTGAAGTGAGGAGGATGTTTCCCCCATTCCCTCCTAAGCCGGGATGCACCCAACCCCTTGGTGGAAAAGATGATAGCTGTTTACATTTTCCAGTCTACAAGGCTGGGATATATGAGTCATATTGGGAAGTTGTAGCTCCAAGGGTGTTGACCAAAGCCAGCTGATGGCGCCCAGCTGACTTTGCCTTTGCCTTCTCCACCAGGGCCTGTGCAGGTGACTGCTATCCAGGGAGATGTAACCCAGGCCCATGAGGTGGCAGCAGCCGTGGCTGGAGCCCATGTGGTCATCCACACTGCTAGTCTAGTGGACGTGTTTGGGAGAGCCAATCCCAAAACCATCCACGAGGTCAACGTGCAGGGTGAGATGAACCCTGTGTGGCTCTCACATGTGACATTTGGCCTGTTTGTTCTCCGCCCTCTGACTGCTGACCTCTTGTAATTCTCCTGGGACAGCCAGTCCTGTTGATCTAATCCTGCCTCCTGTTACTCCGTCCCACCTGGCCCAGCCTGGATGGTTCTCTTTAGATCTGGGATTGGGTAGGGAAAGATGCCCAGGGCGGAGCCACAGCTGGGCTGCATCCCCTCCTTCCACAGGCACGATGAACGTGATCGAGGCTTGTGTGCAGGCTGGAACACAGTTCCTGGTCTATACAAGTAGCATGGAAGTTGTGGGGCCTAACTTCAAAGGTCATCCCTTCTACAGGTGAGCTGAGGACACCCACCACTCCACTTTAAAAGCCCATGTCTAGCAGCTCATGCCTATAATCCTAGCTACTCAGGAGGCTGAGATCTAAGGATTGTGATTCAAAGCTAGTCTGGGCAGAAAAGTCTGAGACTCTTCATCTCCAATCAACTTGCAGCAAAAAGCTCAAAGTGGAGGTGTGGCTCAAGTGGTAGAGCACCATCCTTGAGTGGGGAAAAACTCAAGAATGGTGCCCAGGCCCCGAGTTCAAACCTCAGCATACATGAACATACACAAAAAGCCCTTTTGCTTTCCATTCTTCCTTCCCCCATTAGGGGCAATGAGGACACCCCATACGAGGCCGCACACACACACCCCTATCCTTGCAGCAAGGCCCTTGCAGAGCGGCTGGTCCTGGAGGCCAACGGAAGGAAGGTGAGACCTTGAGATACCACTTTAAATTGCTGCCAGGCAGAGCCTACCCCCAAACTTGTGTCCATCATGGGGTTCAGAGAGGGAGCCCGGCCCTAGGTCCTAACCATTTCTTTCTTTTGTCGGTCGTGGGGCCTGAACTCTGGGCCTGGGCGCTGTCCCTCAGCTCTTCAGCTCAAGGCTATGCTCTATCACTTGAGCCACAGTGCCACTTCGGGCTTTTTCTGCTTATGTGCTGCTGAGGAATCAAACCCAGGGCCTCATGCATGCAAGACAAGCACTCTACCACTGAGCCACCTTCCCAGGCCTGGTCCTGACCGTTTCTGACTTTTGTTCCCAGGTCCGTGGAGGGATGCCTCTGGTGACGTGTGCTCTGCGTCCCACGGGCATCTACGGTGAAGGCCATCAGATCATGAGGGATTTCTATCATCAAGGCCTGCGCCTGGGGGGTCGGCTCTTCAGGACCATCCCAGCCTCTGTGGAACATGGCCGGGTCTATGTGGGTAAGGAGTAGGCTCAGCAGCTTGTGTGTTTCTGTGTGAGTATGTGTGTTCATGTTCATGTACTGGGGCTTCAACAGAGGGCTTGAATACTGTCCCTAAGCTTTTCTGCTCAGAGCATTCTGGCACTTAAGCCATACCTCCATTTCCAGCTTTTGCTGGTGAACTGGGAGGCAGGAAAGCTGGTTAATTCAAGAGTCACAAACTTTTCTGTCTCGGCTGGCTTGGAACTGCAACCTTCAGATCTCAGCCTCCTGAGTAGCTAGGATTACAAGTATGAGCCATCAGTACCTGGCTGGGCTTAGCAGGTTGGCTTTGTTGTTGCTGTGTGCTAGTCCGGGCCTTGCTGCTCTCCTTTTTTGCTCTAGGCTAGCACTTTAGAGCTTGAGCCACAGCTCCACTTCTGGCTTTTTGGTTGGTTAAATGGAGATAAGAGTGTCTCATGTATTTTCCTGCCGGAGGGGCTCAGCAGTTTATGAGAATCTAAGAACAATGCAGAAAAACCTGCTCTGGAAATGGACAGGAATCATGGGTTCTAAAAGGAACAGTGTGTATCCTGGCTGGGGGGGGAGGGGGGAAAGAGTAGTAGATCACGATTATGGGATGCCATCTGCTTGGGCCACAGAGGAAAGAGGATCTATCTAGGTTGGGAAGACTGACATCAAAAGCCATAGACTGGGATTGTGGCTTAGTGGTAGAGTGCTTGCCTAGCATGCATGAAACCCTGGGTTCCATTCCTCAGTACCACATACACAGAAAAAGCCAGAAGTGGTGCTGTGGCATAAGTAGTAGAGTGCTAGCCTTAAACACATAGAGGCTCAGGGACAGAGCCCAGGCCCTGAGTTCAAGCCCCAGGACTGGCAAAAAAAAAGCAAAATCCAAAAACCAAAAAAGCCCACCATAGGCTAGAACAGAGAAAAATGCAACCCCAGGACCTGAGCACAGTTCTAGGTTACCTTGGAGAACAAGTAGCTTCAAAGGCTGGGAGGGAGGGCAGGGGAGGGCAAAGCAGCCTCTTCCAGGCCATAGCACGAGGTGGACAGGATCTCAGCATCACTGCATGGGCTGACCCAGGAGAACAACGTCCACACAGTGGCAGGGCACACCAATGGTCACCGTGCTACCCCATCCCTATTCCCATTGGCAGGCAACGTGGCGTGGATGCACGTCCTGGTTGCCCGAGAACTACCGCCAAGAGCCCCACTCATGGGTGGCCAAGTCTATTTCTGCTATGACAAGTCACCCTATAAGAGCTACGAGGACTTCAACATGGAATTCCTGGGCCCCTGCGGACTGCGGCTGGTAGGCACCCGCCCACTGTTGCCCTATTGGCTGCTCTTCATCTTGGCCACCCTCAACGCCCTGCTCCAGTACCTTCTACGCCCACTGTTGCTGTACACACCCCTGTTGAACCCCTACACACTGGCTGTGGCCAACACCACCTTCACTGTCAGCACCAACAAGGCACAGCGCCATTTTGGCTATGAGCCTTTGTTCTCATGGGAAGATAGCCGGAGACGCACCATTCGCTGGGTGCAAACCATAAAGGGTTCAGTTCAATGACAGCAGGTCTGGGCTCTGGTGGCCATCACGTTCTGGCCACCTGAGTCCTCACATGGATGGAGAGAGTGACTGTGTTACAGGAGCTCAGGGCCCTGGTACCCGACTGGCCAACTCAGAGTCCTCTCTCTGCAGTGGAAGACCACGAGGCTGCCAGGAGTCTGTACTTTGCTACCTCTGAGTTCTAGGACAGGGCTGGGGACAAACAGCATCTTCCCTCTTAGCCTAGGCTTGCTGGGTGGTTGCAGGGAACTGGATCCTAAATGATATCATGACTCCATCGCAAGTGTGGTTTTCTGAGCATAAAATGGCTGAGGTTCCACAGGCTTTGTGCTGATCTTTTTTTTTGTCGGTCGTGGGGCTTGAACTCTGGGCCTGGGTGCTGTCCCTTAGCTCTTCAGCTCAAGGCGAGCGCTCTACCACTTGAGCTACAGCACCACTTCCAGTTTTCTGGTGGTTTATTGGAGATAGGAGTCTCACGGTCTCTCCTGCCCAGGCTGGCTTTGGACCTGGATCTTCAGATCTCAGCCTCCTGAGTAGCTAGGATTACAGGCGTGAGCCACCAGCACCCGGCTTTATGCTGATCTTCTGACATATAGGTGCCATCTTTAGGCTTGGATACAGAGGGAAGAGGATACTTTGTCCCTCTCAGGAAAATTATAGTCCCCTTATTTTTGAAATGATCACCTTTAGATTTTTTTTTACAAAGGCCCCTCATAGAAAAGCTAGGGAAATGAGTATATTACTCTTTTCTTTCTTCATGTGTGTGTGTGTGTGTGTATTTGCCAATACTGAGGCTTGGACTTTGGACCTAGGCACCATCCCTTAGTCTTTTTGCTCCAGGCTAGCACTCTACCAATTGAGTCATATGAGTCATACCTCTAGTTGTAATCGATGCCTCTTCACCTAAATGCAGCTTTTGCAATCATGTTAGCAGTCTGCCCACAGGGTTCCAGTAGTGCTGTACCTAGCCAAGGGCTAGATTAAAATCCTTTTCCAAGCACGTGTCCATCTGTCAGTCCAGCTCCTCTGCCCACCCTTCCCCACGGTGGCGCGGCCCGGGTGGGGACCGAAGGAAGTGAGCACACGGCAGGCCCGCTGTTGGATTGGTTGCTATTTCTCCCGTCCCAGGGGGCCCAACCCGGCCCAGGGTGGGGTTGGGGGGCGGGGCTCTGGGGACAGGACATGCAGGGCTGGGTGGGGGGGCAGAATTTCCTGTATTTGATCCATTTGCAACTTGGTCACCAATAGAGAGAAATGAGACTGAGGGCTAACACGAGAGGGCGGCCAGGCCCTGGGTCCCCAGCCAGGCCCTAGGAGTCCTGTCGCCTCTAGGGAGGGGGTGGGGAGTAGGGAAAGAGCTCTAGAAACCCAATAGAGAAACAAGAGAAAGGGGGCAAAGGGCTCATGTCAGCAAACACGGCTACATCACGTGACACGCCAGCGACACAGAAACACACGCCAACGCACACGGCTGCACAGCAGGGCAAAGGGGCGGGTGTTGGCGGGGAGAAGGGAGCCGGGGAGGGGCGCCCATCTTGTCCTCTGCAGGGCGGGCTGGTGGGAGGGGGAGGGCAGGGTGAATGCATAGAACACATTATATGGACACGCTCAAGGCGTGGCGAGAGCGTGCATTGCCCCCACGGGCTCATGGGATGGACACGCAGTGTGCTTTGTGAGAGGCAAGGGGGGGGAGCAGGAGCTCTGGCCAGGCTGGACCACCCCTGGGGCACACACGGGCTTGATGGCTGGGGGTGCATGGAGGATGGGCAACACACACTTGTCTGGGGAACATGCGTAAGACACCATTCTAGGACACAGGTGATACACGGCGCCACCAAGCAAGCCCACGACACAGCCCCTCAGCCCCTTAGCCACTTGAGGCCCAGAGGTGGCCGACTATCGGCCTGATGCTACTCAAGAAGGACAGGAGCTTCCAAAACGCCTGGGCCTGGTAGCAGGGAGGAAGGACGGGGCTGGATGCTAGGGCCTGCTCTGATGTCTCCAAAGATGAGGGCAGGAAGGCTTGCAGTCAGACTCCAGGTGGACTTCCTGTCCTGCAGAAGGGTGTTCTAGAAATGGGCAGCAGGTTCATCTTCTCAAGTCAGGCGACCTGGGGGCTACATACAGGTGGCCACACTGACACACAAAGGCCAAAGTGGGCGGGATCCAGCCAGCCAGCCAGGGGAAGAGATTGGCTGTCTGATTGGCTGAGATCGACCCTAGGAGGTCACATTTGCATGGTCTTTCTCGCGCGCGCACACACACACACACACGTACACATATACATGCACACGCACTTCACATGATGTGGGAATCTGGTGAGAAGGGCCTGCACACACATCCCAAGTTCATTATTCAGCCCACACGCATGCTCATACTCAGGGCAAGGCACACTGTGTACCTGTGTGTTCATTGTACGTGTTCCAGGCCCATGGGGGTGGTCTTGTGTGTGTGTGTGTGTGTGTGTGTGTGTGTGTATGTGTACTGACAATGGGGCTTGAACTCCAGGCTCAGGTGACATCCCTTAGCCTTTTTTCCCCCTCAAGGTTGGAAGCTCTCTGACTTGATCCACAGCTCCACTTCCGGTTTTCTGGTGGTACCTTGGAGATAAAAGTCTCACAGACTTCCAAGTGGCTTTGAACTGCGATCCTCAGCTCTCAGCCTCCTGACTAGCTAGGATGATAGGCATGTGTCACTGGTGCCTGCCAGCAGGGGATGGTCCTAACACTGTCCTTTCTCCCATGTACCTCAAATCTGCCAGCACAGACAATCTACAAGCTATAAACACACACGTGACCCTCCCCACCCCCTCTTCGCTTACCATCAGAGGCTGGGCCTGCATCCCATCCTCCAGTGAGAACCCTGATTTCTCCTAGGTGCTGGCAGGCTGGAGGTAGGACGGGAGAGCTCCCTGTCTTACCATCTGTCTGAGGAAGTCTTTGGCATTTCACCTCCCCAGCAATAGCTCAGTGTTCCCACCAGGAGACCATGACACAGGCACTTTGCCATAGCGGGCTTGAGTATCCCCGTGTGTGTGTGTGTGTGTGTGTGTGTGTGTGTGTGTGTGTGTGTTTGCCTGGCTGGGGACACCTCTGAGGGACTGCCTCAGCCTTGTCACCTGTGAGCATACAGAGATGTGCCAGCTGTCACAGGTTCCAGCCTGTCCTTGGGCAGAGACCCAGAGAAAGATAAAGGTCTGGGCCCGTGTGCCCAGGAGTCCTGAGGTGGCAGGGCAGGAAGCTACCATTGCGCAATGTTTCATGCAGCTGTCTGGGAGGCCATACTAGATAATGGTCAGCGGCGATGGGGACAGAGGAAGGGACAAATCAACCCAAAGAAGCCATCCTGGACTGGGCATGTTCTAGAGAAATGTATCTGTGAGTGTATGTGTGTGTGTTTCACTAGGCAGAAAGCCCCTTACCATACACACGTGTGCATGCGCACACACATGCTCACGCAGCTGTACTCTAGGTAGCAGAGAAATAACGGGCATCTGGAAGTGGTGCTGTGGCTCAAGTGGTAGAGCGCTCGCTGAAGAGCTGCAGAGCTGAGGGACAGCGCCCAGGCCCAGAGTTCAGGCCCCACGACCGACAAAAATAAATAAAAGGCATCTGTGCCCACACAAAGCCAATGTGCAATCCAGTGGGAGGGGGCTCCTGTCAACACTTGGGGCATGCGCACACATGCACACACACTCTCCTTCCCTTCTCCAGGACATGGAGTAATTCCCTAAGTGATCAAGCGGTCATGTGGGGGTGGGAGGGGTGCCACAGCCTTCGTCTCTGAGCCTCCCTGGCTCCTGAGAGGATGTGGACATGTGTGCACACATTTCCCGCCCCATTCACAACACACGAGGGCGGAGATGGAAAGATGGCTGTTGTCATCAAACACAAAATGCCCACAGATCTATGACTACGCACACACACACACACACACACGCACACGCACACATACACACACACCTATGCGTGGAAAACGGGGGGGGGGGTGTCGCTACATGGTTAAACTCGGCCAATCTACCTGGCAACCAGGGTGGAGAGAGGAGACTGGAGGTAGGGGGAGGGGAGAGGTGTGATCTGGTGGGGGGGAGGGGTCTACACACACATCTACACATGTACACACACGCTGGGGTGTCCACACGTCTCAAGCATGTGCCGGCGGCATGCATGTTGGTGTGCATGTGTGATCACGCCTGCTGCTATCTACGTGCGGGGTGGGGCGGGGTGGGGGACAGTCCATGGCAGGGGGGGTCTGCCTGGGAAGTGGAGGGGGGTGGGGCTGCCTGGGTCTGTTTTCAGGGAGAGCTTGGAGCAGGGGGATGGAGTGGGAAGGTGGTGGGGGTATTGCTCCCGATGTGAAGGGGGGAGGATCTGGGAGAGAGAAGGGCAGGGGGACTACAAGCCCAGCGTCCCCCCAATGGATGACGCCAAGACCACCCCCAGCACCACACAGCAAATGATGATCATGATTTTCTTCTGCAGACAGAAAGAGAGATGAGACAGAGACAGAGTGATAGAGAGAGAGGGCAAGACAAACCAACAGACCAACAGATGGGGAGAGATAGGGGTGTGGGGTGTAAGAAAAAAAGAAGGGAGGGAAAACAGAGAAAAACAGAGTCAGAGGCAGAGATAAGGCCTGCTCCCAACTGCATCACCACCGCAGCCCTGGCCTACTCCCAGCCCCGCCCACCGTCCTCCTGGCTGGCCCCCAAACCCCATCTGGCCATGAGAGTACCCCCTGCTCACCCTCCGGGCCTTGCTCTGATATTTCACAGCTTTCTTGGTGTCAGACACGGCTCGCTCTACATAGTCCACGGAATGTTCCACGTTGTACTCGATACGGTCAATCATCTCTCCCTGGAGACAGAGGTGCGTGAGGCCTAGCTCTGGCAGTCTGATGGAGGCTGGATGGGGGTGGTCGCCGCCCCCCCACCATGGAGTGGTAGAGCCCACCTACCTGGCTTTCCACGAGCATCGCCATGTCCACAAACATGTCGTGCAGCTCTCGGATGCTGGTTTCCAGTTTGATGATCTCATTGTGTCTCGTCTCGATCTCATTTAGGGCCTGCTTTGTCATCTGGGAGTCCATTTTGATCTAGGATGATAAAAGCAGAGAGTAAGGGCTGTGTCTTCAGCCGTCAGTGTGTCTGGATTCAAATCCTCGTGTCCTTTCCTAGCAAAATTCGGAACCACTCTAGGACTCCATTTGCCCCTCCCTCCCCCAATAGAAAATTCAAGACCCTAGCAGGGTCCATCTCAAGTGCTATAGTGAAAAATCACAGGAGGCTGGGAATGTGGCTTAGTGGTAGAGGGTTTGCTTAGCATGCACTGGGTTCGACTTCTCAGTACCACATACACAGAAAAAACTGGACGTGATGATGTGGCTCAAGTGGTAGAGTGCTAGCCTTGAGCAATAGAAGCTCAGAGACCGTGCCCAGGCCCTGAGTTCAAGCCCCAGGACTGGCAAAAAGAAAAAAAAAATCATACCAGTTTGGAAGAACGCCTGGTACTAAAGGGAAGTTTGCTAAATTACAGGAAATGAAATTTGGCGGGAACCCACCACCTCTGTCTGCCCCAGGACAGCCAGCACACACACCAGGGAAGCTAAGGAAAGAGAGATGGGCAGAGGCAGACGGGGCGGTGGAGGGGACACTGCAGGTGGGAAAGGAGCAAGCTAAGGAGACTCAGAAGAGAAGGTCATGTGCCCACAAGTCACCCAGAGCCTGCATGAGATGAGGCAGGAGATAAAAATCACCACTCAACTTACAGTTGGATCCCTCAGACCCCAGACTCCTGGCCTGAACCAGGCATTCACTTCCTATTTACTCTAAAGCCGCCAGGACTCGCCATTATCACAGGCTTCACACCTTTGACAATCAATGTAACACTGGGCCATTCTTCCTTTCTTTTTTTTTGGGGGGGGGGAGGTCGGTCGTGGGGCTTGAACTCTGGGCCTGGGAGCTGTCCTCAACTCTTTAGCTCAAGGCAAGCGCTCTACCACTTGAGCCACTGTGCCACTTCCAGTTTTCTGGTGGTGAATTGGAGATGAGAATCTCATGGATTTTTCTGCCCAGGCTGGCTTTGAACCTCGATCTTCAGATTTTAGCCTCCTGAGTAGCTAGGATTATAGGCGTGAGCCACAGACACCTTTCTTTCTTTCTTCCTTCCTTCCTTCCTTCCTTTCTTTCTTTCATTGTGAGGCAGGTCCTGGGGCTTGAACTCAGGGCCTGGATACCGTCCTGAGATTTTGTGCTCAGAGCCATGTCTCTATTTCTGGCTTTTTGGTGGTTAATTGGACATAAGAGTCTCACAAACTTTCCTGCCCGGGCTGGCTTTGAACTGTGATCCTCAGATCTCAGCCTCCTGAGTAGTTAGGATTACAGGGGTGTGGCCACCAGCATTCAGCTCCCTGTCATTTTTACCCGTAGACAGCGTGGAGAGAGCTATTTGAGGGTGAAGGATGCCTCTCCTCAGAGATGAATTTGACCAAAGTTAATTCAACAAAGATCAATTATTCAAACAGCAATTTACTGAGATCTATTAAACAATCACAGTACATCCTTTTTTTTTTTTTTTTTTGGTGCTAGTACTGGGGCTTACGCTTGGTGCCAGCTCAAGGCTAATGCTCCATCACTTGAGCCACACCTCCACTTCTGGCTTGTGCTGGTTGATAGGAAACAAGGGTCTCATGGATTATTTGGTCCAGGCTGGCTTTGGACCTGGATCTTCAGATCTCAGCCCTTGAATAGCTAAGATTTAAGTATGATTCACTAGTGCCTGGCTTCACAGCTTTTTTTTTTTTTTTTTGTCAGTTGTGGGGCTTGAACTCTGGGCCTGAGCGCTGTCCTTCAGCTCTACCACTTGAGCTACAGCACCACTTCTGACTTTCCTGCCCAGGCTGGTTTTGAACGGTGATCCTCAGATCTCAGCCTCCTGAGTATCTAGGATTAAAGATGTGAGCCACCCAGCTCACCCACCCTTTTTGTTGGTTAACTGGAATTAATAGTCTCGTCGACTTTCCTGCTTGGGCTGGCTTTAAACCATGATCCTCAGATCTCAGCCTCTTGAGTAGCTAGGATTACAGGTGTAAGCCACCAGTGCTTGGTTTCACTGTGTGTACTTTAAATCTAGTCTAGAATCATTATTCAGAACCACTGAGCCCCCAGAAGCAAAAACAAAGACAGAACTGAATAGGCCAGGGCAAAAGTCCGTTAGGAGAGAGAAGAACTTAGGTTAAGAAAGACCCATCCATCCACATAGAAAAAGATAGAGCAAGGCAGTGGACAATTCTTAAGCAAAACGTGTGTGTGTGTGTGTGTGTGTGTGTGTGTGTGTGTGTTTATCCATTGTGGGACTGGGCGCTGTCCTCAGCTCTTCAGCTCAAGGCGAGAGCTCTTGAGCCACAGTGCCACTTCCGGTTTTTCTGGTGGTTTTATTGGAGATTAGAGTCTCATAAACTTTCTTGCCTGGGCTGGCTTTGAACCATGATCCTCAGATCTCAGCCTCCTGAGTATCCAGGATTACAAGTGTGAGCCACCAGCGCCCAGCAAGCAAAACTAATATATATATTTTTTAATGTAGAGAAATGAGTCATATGGTGAATGATGAATGCTTGGGTGGGAACCATTAGCAGACTTTTTGTTTTGGTGTTCTACACTTGAGGCACACCTCTAGCCTGACTTGTTCTGATGAACTGAAGCTAGAATCCTGTGGATGTCTGCACAGGCTGGTTATAAATGAAGACCCTCCAGATCTCAGCCTGCTGAGCTGGATGATGGGGTGAGCCACCTGCACAGAATTCGGACTCTGAAACCACATTGGACTCAAAATCGTTGGCAGGCAATTTGACCTTTGGGGAGCTTGTTTTTGACGTCTGTGAAATGGGCAGCGCACTGAATGAGCTTGCAAGGAAGAGTAAAATAGGCAAAGGGCTGAGAACACCCTGCTTTCAAGGTCACACGGCTGTTTTGAAGGGCGGGGACTTCCTGTGCTATCCCATGGAATTCCCCACTTCCCGGTCCCAGCTGCCCACGCCTGGCCATTCCAGAGTAGACCTAGGATCTAGGTTCAAGTTGAACCTGAGGAAGTCCCCCAAAGAGGCCCCATCCCACCCCAGGGGGAGGGCTCACATCGTCCGTGAAGATGGCCAGCTTCCCGCTCTCCAACATGTCCTCCAGCTCTTCGTTGGTCGTGGTCCTGCCGGCTGTGGAGAGAAGGGACTCCCTGCTCAGGGGCTGGGCCCATTAGGGAGCCTGCGGTGGTGGGGTGGGGCAGGGCCCGGGGGGGCCCCCTCTCCCACCAGCTTTAGGCCAGGCGCTCCCGGGGAGGGTGGAGGAGACCAGGGGCATACGCACTGATCTCCAGCTGCCGCTGGATCCGGTCCTTGCAGCGGTCTCGGTACTTGGACTGAGTCGCATTATACTCGGTCATTACCTCCACGAACTTCCGGGAGAGTGTTGAGTGCTGGGGGGGGGTGGAGCACAGACAGTGGGTGGGCAGGGGGCAGAGATGCTGGGCAGACTTAGTTTATCACCCCCCCACAAATGCAGCCCATTCCACGCCTGCACCTGCTGCACCTGCCGGAGACCTGAAGATACAGCCAAGGCCCGCCCTTCACCGTAACCCTGCCCACACAAAGCCACGCCCATTTCACTTGGCCACGCCCCGTGTTCTGGCCCCGCCTATCCGCCTGGCCCCGCCCCCAAGCGCTCCAGGCCCAGCTCCTCCCATCTCTTTGCAGGCCCAGTCCAGCCTTCGCCTCCTACCTGGGTCTTGCGGATGCGCAGGTCCGCGGAGGAACGGTTCAGCCCCTCTTCCTGTTCAATGCTTTGCTCAATCGCTGTGGGACAAAGGGCGCAGTGACTGGTGGGAGACCTGGGGCAGGTGGGGTGAGGGGTCTGGGGCACAGGAAAGGCCGACACCCAGAGACAGGCCCTGGGCCTGGGAAGAGATGTCATGAGCATGGGGAGGACGGGCAGTAGAGGAGACAGGGAAAAGGCCAGGCCAGCAGATAAACAAGCAAGTGTATTGGGGGGTGGGGGGGTCCCAGGCAGGTAGCAGGGGAGGTCATCTCATTAGCCAATCCAGAGCTATGCCTCTTTCTTTCTTTCTTTCTTTCTTTCTTTCTTTCTTTCTTTCTTTTTTTTTTGTCGGTCATGGGCACTGTCCCAGAGTTCTTCAGCTCAAGGCAAGTGCTCTACCCTTGAGCCACAGTGCCACTTCTGGTTTTCTGGTGGTTAATTGGAGATAAGAGTCTCATGGACTTTCCTGCTTGGGCTGGCTTTGAACTGTGACCCCCAGATCTCAGCCTCCTGAGTAGCTAGGATTACAGGCATGAACCACCAGACCCAGCTTGGATCTCTAGTTTTCTATGAGTTGGGCCCAGATCACAGTCTTCCTATCTCCTCCTGAGTAACTGGGGTTATAGGCATATACTACTGGAGAGAGGGAAGTGAGGAGGGCCTTCTTTTTTGTTGTTGTTGTTTGTGCTGATACTGGAGCTTGAACTCCTGGCCTGCAAAGCGATCCCTTGTCCTGGAAGTTCATATGTCTAAAAGGTGTCTTGGAAAAGTGAAAAGATGAACTAGAATTCCTGCTTCTGGATCATGCACACCTAATACCACCATTCAGATTTTCTGAAAAAGAGCGTGAGGTACGATCTAATAGAGTTAGATCAGAAAACGTAGCAGAGATGAATCACTCAGCCTGCCTGTTCCAAGGGTCTCTAGGCTATTCCTGAGAACATGGCTTCTCTGAGCTGCTGGCAGCTGCTGTGGGGAGGTATGAGGCTGGCCTACACCCCAAAGATCCCCTGCCAGCAAAAGCAGGCATAGTTAATGAGTGGCGGCTCTGGCCTGAGGATGTGGGGAAAGCAGAGGGATACCTAAGAAGGAAACTCAATGTGCTGGCCTGGCTGAGGCCCTGTTTCAGATGTGGGGCTAGGCCAAGTATGGAGGGAGGAGTCTTCTATGTTGCTTCATTGACTTTTCAGGACAATCCTGAGAATTCTGTGATATCACCTCCTGTTTCAGACTAGAAACTGAGACTCAAATGGGTAAAACAATTCAAAGTCAAGTTCAGCTACCAACTAGAAGAACCAAGGCCTCTCCCCCCTCCCCCTCCTTCTCCCTCTCCCCCTTCTCTCTCTTTCTCCCTCTCCCTTTCCCCCTCCCCCTCCCTCTCCCTCTCCCCCCTCTTTCTCTTTCTCCCTCTCCCTCCCTCTCTCTCTCTCTCTTTCTCCACCATTTGAGCCACCGTTCCATTTCTGGCTTTTTAAGCTGGCTTCAAAACAGGATCCTCATATCTCAGCCTCCTGAGTAGCTAGGATTATAGCCGTGAGCCTCTGGCACCCAGCTGGTTTTCTCTTTTTCTGGACATCTGAATGGTCAGTTTCTTGTATGTGTGTGTGTGTGTATGTATACACGCATGTATGTATGTATATCATAGTTGAACTCAGGGCCTGCACACTGTCTTTGAGCTTTTTCACTTAAGACTAGCACTCTACTACTTTGAGCCACAACACCACTTCTGGTTTTCTGGTGGCTAATTGGAGGTAAGAGTCTCAAGGACTTTCCTGCCTAGGCTAGCTTTGAACTGGGATCCTCAGATCTCAGCCTCCCGAGTAGCTAGGATTACAGGCGTGAGCCACTGGTGACTAGATAATTTATTTATTTTTTATGTGCTTGACTTTATTGTTTTAATGGGTGACTTCCGGGCCTCTTGTTCTGAGAGATTCTCACTCAAGGCTGGTGCTTTACCACTTGAGGTACACTTCCAATTTCAGCTTTTTGGTGGTTAACTCATTTATTTGCCTGGACTGGTGATCCTCAAATCTCAGCTTCCTAAGTAGGTTTGATGGTAGGCATGAACCATTAGAACTTTATTATTTATTTTTGTCAGTTGTGGGGCCTGAACTCTGGGCCTGTGTGCTGTCCCTCAGCTCTTCAGCTCAAGGCTAGTACTCTACCACTTGAGCCACAGAGCCACTTCTGTTTTTTTTCTGCTTATGTGGTGCTGAGGAATTGAACCCAGAGCCTCATGCATACAAGACAAGTGCTCTACCACTGAGCCACCTTCCCTGCCCCTTGACTTTCTTTTTACATATTTAAAAAAATATTTATCTACTATTTATTGTTACTGGGGCTTGACCTCACGACTTCACTCTCTGGGTCTTTACACTCAGGACTGGCACCCTACCACTTGAACTGCACCTCCAGTTTGGCTTTTTTTTTTTTTTCTAGTTAATTGGAGATGGAAACTCTTGGACTTCTGACTAGGCTGGCCTTGAACCTCGATCCTCAGATTTCAACCTCCTGAGTAAGATTACAGGTGTAAGCCACTGGTATCCCCCTTCTTTTTTATTTTAATTTTAGTTAGACTTGAAACAGTCTTGTTATGGAGCCCAGGCTGGCCTTGGACTTGTGGCTCTCAAGTACTGCGATTACAGGCATGCACAAGCACTGCCAAGCCTGGTTTAAACAATCAACTTCTTCCTCAACCCCTTATACAACCTCCATCACCACCAAGTCCTGGGGCTTGAACTCAGAGCCTGGGCACTATCTGTGGGCTTCTTTTACTCAAGGCTAGTGCTCTACCGCTTGAGCCACAGCACCACTTCCAGCTTTTTCTGTTTATATGGAACTGAAGAATCGAACCCACATCTTCATTAAGACTAGGAAAGCACTCGACCACTAAGCCACATTCCCAGACCACAATCAGTTTCTTAAACCACGGTCACTTTCCCTGTGTTCTTTCTGGGTTTATTTGTTTTTTTTTTTTGGGTCCGGTCGTGGGGCTTGAACTCTGGGCCTGGGCGCTGTCCCTCAGCTCTTCAGCTCATGGCTAGCGCTCTACCACTTGAGCCACAGCGCCACTTCTGGCTTTTTGCTTATGTAGTGCTGAGGAATCAAACCCAGGGTCTCATGCATGCAAGGCAAGCACTCTACCACTGAACCACCTTCCCAGCCCCTTTCTGGGTTTATTTGTAACACATGGATCACAGAGATCCTGCATCACAGAGATATATCCTTGGTATCGTCTAGAAAGTATTCAAGGTCAGGGCTAATCAAGTCCAAAGACACTACTGAGCCTAGGGATTTTAAAGCTGTGTGCCAGAAGGAACCTGACTTCTTAGAAGGAACCCAAGGGGGAAGGCAGGCGGGGCAGGGAAGGACTTCCAGTCTCTACTCAGTCAAGAAACCTGACACTTTTTTTTTTTGTTAGTCATGGGGCTTGAACTCTGGGCCTGGACCCTGTCCCTGAGCTCTTCAGCTCAAGCCAAGCGCTCTATCACTTCAGCTACAGCACCACTTCCGGTTTTCTGTTGGTTAACTGGAGATAGCTCACAGTCTTTTCTGCCCGGGCTGGCTTTGAACCACGATCCTCAGATCTCAGCTTCCTGAGTAGCTAGGATTACAGGCGTGAGCCACTGGCACCCGGCAACCGATACTTTTTAAAAAAAAATATAATCTTCGTAAAATTTCACTTGGAGTAAAAGATTTTACTGGGACTGGCAATGTGGCTCAGTGGTAAAGTGCTTGCCTAGCATGCATGAAGCCCTGGGTTCCATTCCTCAGTATCACATACACAGAAAAAGCCAGAAGTGGCACTGTGGCTCAAGTGGTAGAGTGCTAGCC